TCTTTACTTCTCTTCTTTCCCTTTCCTTTTTCTCTTGCTTGCCCCTTTTCTTCTGGTTTTCCTCTAGTTTCTCCTCTCCATTTTCACACCCCATCCACACAGAACATAAACACCCCTCTCCCTTTCCCCTTCATTATGCTTACCTCATAATATCATCACCAGGGGATTACAGCTGCAGGCCTGAAGGTGGTGCAAGTACACAGAAAGCTGTGTGTGGTGGAGCGGGCGTTTTTCACCTCAGTAATGAAAATATCACAGGAGACCCGGTGGGTGGCGATGACCTTTGGAGAGCGTTGCTTTTTGCCTTGCTTGCTTGCTCTCGTAAAATGCCCAACTGCCCGTTTCACCCACCCCCTTCCTCCACCTCTTAGTGATGTGGCTCAGCAATGCATGGAGAGCCTGTAGATCCATACACTGATTAAATAATTTATCACTGACTGAAAAGGGGAAGAGGATTGAGAGTGATGCTGTGCAAAGAATGATGAAGATGATGGAAATGGGAGAGAGTTAATCTGCTACATGTCCCTTATATTATAGGTCTGCTGAATACAGGTTTGTGCCATCCACTTCAATAAAGTCTAAATTATCTAACAGTACAGAACTTTAAGTCTCCATAAGAATATTAGCATAATGTAATTTTAAAATTTTATCATTTAAAATAATTAACAAATGAATATCAAACCTGTATTCTCTCTGTGTACCTTTTTCAGTCGTGTTTATCCAAATGCTAAAAGTCAAATGATTCCCATTAAATATGCGGCTGCAGCTGAAGCTTTCATTTCATGCTATCAGTCTAGACTATCACATCAGTTCTGTCTGCTGGTCCATAAATGGTGAATAGATGAATGTATTATTGGCACTATTATATTGAAATGTCAGTGTGTCTCTGTGCCGTACAAAAGGAAGCATCACAGCGCGTCCTGACAACTATGTTGCAGGTAATGAATTATTTCTACAGTTCAGATATGTCACTGTGATTTCAGAAATATATACTGATCTGGGACGTTACGTATTATGTTATCTGTGGCTCTAGCTATTATCACACTGTATTTTGCACACAGCACACTCTAAGGTATTTTGTCTTGTCTTCTTTTGATGTATTAAAAGCAAAGAGACACTAATAGAGTCAGAATAAACATAATATTTTGTTGCAGCTGATGTATACTGTGTTACTGTTGGGATGAGTTTTTGCTAGGATTTGTTCAAATGTATCTAACTGATGAAATTCTTTTGGTCAGTGGTGGAAAGAATACACAGAACCAGAACTTAAAGTAAAACAAAAGGAACAGTACCATAGAAAAATCACACTTCATTATCTCATGGTGTTGTGTCCAGTATGTTATTCCCCGCTGTGTAAATGTGACTTTTTCTTATAGATTTAATAGAGTTTTGAACTGGTAAATTTCTTTCTTTTTTGCCCTTTTGCTTGAACAATTACTAGTTATTGAAAATCAAATCCATTGCTAATTAGTTTCAGTCTTTCAACTAAAGCCACATCAAACTAAACCACAGCCAAACTTTCTTATACTGTTGAAATACTCAAAAGTCATAAAAAAATACATAGCATGAAATTGTACATTGGTCATTTAATTTGCAGCCTTTTTATTGGAGTGGCTATTCTATTGTATTGCACTTATGTTATTCCCACAAATGTGTTTGTGCATAGTCTTACATTTTCTGCTATTCAAATTATTCCCTTTATATAATTAGTTGTAATGTGGTGGTAATAAATCATACTGCCAACAATTTTTAATCTGATTTTCCATAATCCTATTACATGCAGTCCGGCCCGGCCCTAACCAATTTGGCGCCCTAGGCAAGATTTCAGGTGGCGCCCCGTTGCATCGCAGTAAATTCCACTGCTAGTGTTTATACTCATAAGAAACGTAATAGCTTTGTCTTGGACATTCTTTTATTTAAATAAAGCTATTGCACATTCAAAATACTTAGAAAGAATTAAAGAAACAAATACAAAAAATGAACTGAACATATGAAATACAATATAAATAGCTTACATAAAGTACCTATTAATACTCCCAAAATAAAAAGTGTAAACAAGTGACATTAACTTAAAAATACAATATAAATACGGCACTGTGCAAAATAAGATATTAAAGAAACGAGTAGGCACAAAATAATACAAGTATTTAAATAAAAATAAAAAGATGATCTTACAAAGACCTCTAGTGCTGTTTTTGGTACTGCTGTAACTTAAAAACTACACCATCA